GGGTGAAGTCAATGGAGACTTGTAGAACATTTCACACCCGAATAACTTACTAATATACACTCCTGATCTGAATAAATGCTGGGCTCAATAAATTGTAAGCCATCATATATGAAGTCCTTTGTCACACATGTTATGTGGCAATAGATAACTGACAAAAACACAAATCATTAATTTACCCTACTTCTGGGAAGAGTCCTCACTTTTCAGGTGGGATCCACTTTACCATCTTCTTAAGCCATGTGGTTTAGATGGCATACTTCTTCCTTTCTCCCCAGGAACTACAAACAGCCCATTTCATTGCTTTCACTGTCATGACTTGTTCAGAGACTGGAACATGACAGGGAAAGCCAATCAGAGAAAAAGCTGGGATCTTTATGGAAAAATACAGGGACCACAATGACAATTATATCACCAATTTTCCACTTTATATGATAGGCCACATTAGCTCAAGTATTAAGACATCAAAATATATACCCACATGAGTGAAAGTAGCATCGGGCTCAGAATGTACTATAGGTCTCCTGACTCCCACCTGGCTAATTTTCTATTTTCCAGTCCTTCTTTAGAAAAGACAAGATTTATTTCAAATGGTATGCCCAGCTTCATTTAGAAATTTTATTAACTAAATGTATGTTAAGTCCTAATGTGTTCTGTGGACATCTATCAGGTAGCTTTGGAATAAATGGGTCTAGATGGCTTATACTCAGAGGCACTTGCTTTCAAACCAGTAAAATGTTTATTGCAATCCTAAGATGATGGCATTTTCTCAAAACCAAAGAACGCTCTCCACCAGTTCATTTCATGCCCTATGGGTTTGCAAGGACGACCATCAAAGCTACAGTGCTTGCTGTGTGCTTTTCAAGAGAGCTGAACACAAGCGCAGGTGGGATTTGATTTTTATTAAAAAATATCACCTCAATCACCCCCTATCCTCCTCCTGCTCTGTATTCTCACTACCAAACCAATAACCCAGATCAGGAAATTGCAAAGGCTAGAATTTCATGAAGTAATGTTTTGAAGCAGCTTCTAGGTGAGTGTTCTCCCAGGATGGTCTGTAGGATGTGTGCACTCCAGTGGAACTGTAACCCAATTACACATTTTCTGTTGCTTTGTACCTCCCATAGGGTCTCTTGGAAAAAACAGTTCTCACAGGGATACATCAGTTTTCTTAGGGTAAGTAAGAGATAAGATTTTTGAGAACCTACTAGGGGCTAAATACCACTGCAGCTATTTCACTTACATCATTACATTCAAATTCCCTTGAGGAAAGATGACAAGACAACATGACTCCATGTAACAAGAAGGAATTAAGGCCCAGTGATGTGAATAATTTGTCTATCAAGTCACTGTTACTGCTAATGAGCGGCAAAGCAGGAAACTAAATTTAAGACAGTCTATCTCTGACGGTCTTATCTTCCAGCTGTAGCCCAGTTCAAATGACTACTAGGAAATTGGTTTTATCTTAGCAAACATCAAAAATACTCGTGTTGGGCAGGATGCTGTGGGAATTGGGGCTCTAGAACAAACTGTGTTGGCATTGCAGTTTGGGTATTAGAAAGAGATAAGTTTAAACCGTAGTATACATAAGAATGCAGGAGATGCATTTAAAAGTGAATATGCTGGACCCCATATTCAAATGCTCCAAATCCTTAGGAGTGGGTAGCCTCAGGATTTACATTTGTATCCTGCATCTCTGGAGATTTTGAATCCAGTCCTTAAGCCTTTCCTTGAGGTCTAAGAGGACTTTCTTTGGAGTACTACTATGATGTAATTTTCTTGTGTAACCTTAGGCAACCTCACTTTCACAGGGGGTCTCAATTTCCTTGCTTATAAAAGCAGAAAAGCAGAGTGCAGTGAATTATTTCTGAAAGACTCTCTCATTATCATTAAGAATAATTTCTGAAGCACAGATGAAAGGAAATTACACAAGCACAACTCTCTTTTACACAGGTTTAGCACCAACTGTATACCAAACTCTGTGCTGTGACGTTTTCTTGTATTGCTTCAAACAATTTTCCCCTCAAACCCAGTGGAGAGTGGATATTCTGATTGCTTGTATTTCAACAGCAGTAGAAATGGAAGTTTTCAGCACAGAGTGGCTTGGGAAATAGTAAGCAAGCTGATTCCTTGTAGAACTTCACCAGTTTAATCACAGTATCATAGTTTTCCCCAAGTTCAGTGTTTCAGAGAGGCTTCAGGTAGTTCAGATTCATTTTGAAAAAAGCAAGTGATTCCCAAGACATGCTTCATTGAAGACTATCTGCTGGGCGTCAAGTGATGTTTTCTCTTGGTAAATTTTAAACAAATAAACCAGATGTAATCAGGGCAGGCACAGGTGGATTAACAGAGGTGACCACCAGGAGGCAACCTGCACAGGAAGCCCTAAGATAGGAAATTAGACAATTCAAAGGAGTGAAATGCCATTTCCTGTCCTGGCAGACACATTCTCTTCATGGTCATAGTCAATGCAGGTGGCATCAAGAAACTTGTATCTGCAGGGTTTTGTCCTCACAGCTACTCTTTCTCATCCAGACTCCCCATGTGACTCCCTCTCTTCATCTACTTCCTAGTTAATGCTTGATGTTCTCAAAGTGAGTCCCTAGCAACATCTATGCCATTGCATATTAAAATGTTAACTGGTTTGCCTTAAGAGAAGAGAGATAAGATGTCAAAAATGCTTGGGAAATGATGGGATAAATGGAGTTTACCAGAGAATTTTGAGGAGTCAGGGGATTTTGCTGACTTGATAGTAATGGCAAAATAATATAATGCCTGTACGCACTTACCACTTTCCTTATGCTGTGTACTTTGACATATATTTTAAACATTATCTCATCTTCTCAGTGGTCTAGGAGGTATCATTGTCTGCATTTTTCAGGTCAGAAAACAGGAGCTTAGAGGAGCCGAATGATTTGCGTTAGTAAAAGGAGACTAGTAAATGATGGATCCAGGACTAGAATTGAAGTGAATCTGAGTCCAAACTGACTAAGTCAATTGAAATTTGAGTCAACTTGGTTTTTACTCTTAAAATGGAAGGATATGCAAAACTCTCCAACTTTGTTATTAGAATTTATCTTATAAATCTGAAGGGTAGTAGACAACACTACAGAAAGACCAATGACCTCAAAGAAAATTGGGCCTGGCCTTCTCTGGAGCTCTTTCCCTTACCCTTCTCCAGACAAGGCAAAATAAATAAGGGAGCATTTAGCAGGACAAGTGAAGTTAGCCTAGTGTGGATAGAAAATACTTTTCTTTTCTTCTTCTTTTGCTTTTGACCTGTCCTGAAATATCTGCTAAATGTATCTGACAGTGGGCTAATCTAAGAGAACAGGGACGCAGACTGCCTCCAAATATTGTCACGGAATCCTAATGGCTTTGTTTTTCACAGAGGAGGAAAAAAATTTATGCCTCTCAAATTAGTAGGTCTGTCATGTTCTAAATTTTGTTTGTATTTCTAAAAATGGACTTTGACATGTGAACAATTATTATCTAATGCAAGACCTGAAAATCTGTCTCTATCTAGACAGCAACTGAGTAGTCAGGAGATTCTCATTAGACATGTAGATCTAGAGCTCTCTTTCTCACTGTAGAATATTATTCACTTCCACTCAAACCTCCATCCTGAAACCCAGGTGTTTCTGAGCCTTTAGGGTCCTGGTTAAGCTCCTTTCTTCAGAACCATAAACCTCATTTTAAAAAAATCTAGAGACCTCATTTAAAAAAAAAAACTAGAGACCTCATATAAATGACTTCTCTGCTGCAGTGATTTTCAAAGTATGATCCCCAGACCAACAGCCTTAGCTCAATTATGAGAACCACGAAACTTTTGGTTGCGCTTCCCCAACATAACCACACACTCATGCACTCTGCAGCCTCCCAGTTATCGCTCTACTCCACCTTCCACCCACCCCACTGCAGGTCACACCTGCCTGCAAAAGCCTTTGAGTAGATGCCCCCAGTTGCATCCCACTCTCTTTAATCATTCTCCACTTGGAAGTCAGAATGCTCTTTTGAGAAGGCAAAATGGTCATACCAATACCCTGCAGAGAGCTGTGCTTTTGTCCTTCAGCTCAGGCTCATTCACGAGTCCTACCTTCACCTCCTTGGGTCAGCAGCTTTCTTTCTATTATGAACCCAGGAATACACAAAGGATGAAAAATTAGAAGTAGTTCTGGTCTGTCCAGAAAAGAGCTGCTCCCGTTTCCCCTTGGGAAAAAGTAACTTAGCTATTAGACAGTTGTGAGTTCAAATTGCAGAGAAACTATTCGCAGCTAGCTGTGTGACTTTACACAGGCATAATTTATCCTTCTTCAGATCTCTGTGTCTCTAAGTGGGAATGACAATGCCTACATACTCAAATCACTGAAAAATGAAGTGACAAAATGGCTATGAAGGACCAGAGTGCTGACACACAGTAGAGGGTTCATTAATTATAGCTACCACATGATTTAGTCACCCAGTTACCTCAGATTCAAGTCTGCTAACTCCTTGTCTTTCTCCTCACTATTTTCTCTAGGAAAGTAAAAAGTAGCATTTTTTTTCCCTAGAAGGCTAATTATTCCCCCCAAATTTATTCACATGGTTGTATTTACCTCTCATCAGAAGTCATGTTTCCCACATTAATTTACCGTGTTTTACCATTTTGCTTTTGTGGATTTCTGTGGCAAAATTTCTGGGTTTCTTACCTGGGATGTTTTCTGGCAGAAGAATTTTCCTTCAGGCAACAAATATTTAGAAACAAGAGGTAGCACACAGTCCAATAACTACCCACAGCATACACAGACCATACCTAAGCCACATAAACATGTACACATGTACAATGTACACACATACACACATATACACACACACACCCCTACACATCGAAGCTTAGAGATACCAGCCAAGGCAGACACAAATTCACACTGGGTCGTATACAGACACCAGAACTCTCTGTTTCTTCATTATGTATTAAATTTGACAACACCTAGACAAAAGAGGCAGAAAAGGCCATACGGTACCTTTTGGTGACTTAAGTGTCGCCACTGTCCAGTCACCATCAGAATTTCCTAAAAAAATGACAACCAAGAGATGCTGATCTGTGTGCCAGGCAGGTCCTGTTTGTTACTCTCTCATACCCAAGTGCTGTTGCTGCCCCAGCTGCAGCCCCCAGTAGGGATAACCCTCAGGGGACCCAGGAAACAGAGCAGATCTGAGTATGAACATGCAAACCTTGTGCATCTGTGTGCAAAGTCTCGAGGCAGAACTGTATTAATGCCCAGCACAAGATCAAAGGAAGCCCCCTGAAAGGGCTCAAATATTTTCAGTTATATAATGTGGTGAGAGAATTCTTAGACAGTAAATCTGTTTCACAATTTCAACCAACTACAAAGAGGAATATTTGAGTTATATGAGGTCACTGATAACTACACTCTGATGACAAGAGATATATTTTGATCCTATTTTATTGTAAACTCCCCCCCCCATTCCAAATCCAAGCTTCAAGTTCAAGTTTGGGACAGATTCCACTGGTCATAATTTTAAATGCTGGATGGGATAGTTTGCTACCATAGTGCCTAGCATGAAGTCAATGTTTGAAAACTATTATTGAATAAATACATGAATCCAATTTTCTCCAAAGGATAATTCTTCCTATAATATGGAAATTCCCCTAAATACTAAATGGATCAAGCTTGTTATTTGAGAATCCCATAGTGAATAATCCATTGCTTTACAGAATAGATGTCTGCCTAGAATTTTTGTTATAAATCAGTTTCTCCAAATTGAATTCCTTTTCAGATGTTCTAAACAAGGCCTCAGAGAATCTCACATTATTAACAGAATCCCATGCTGACCGTTTTGTAAAATAAAGGAAGATGAGAAGGACTACATCCATACTCCATCTTCTCTTGAAATTCCTTCTCTGTAAGACTGAGTTTTACATATAGGAGAGTCACTTTACACATGATGGTCTCTCCACATTACCTGGATGACTGACTAATCACTGAGTCCTACTAGTTCCCCTTTCTTTTCTTAGAAATCTACCTGGAAAGTCCAAGTCCTCAACACTGTCTGCATTATTTCCAGAGATAGTTCAGGCTGTCAGCCACGAGGAGATGTAGGGAACAGTCAGTGATCTGAATGATTGTAGAGCACAAATCCAGCTCCACTTAAACATTTCTGGTTGGCCTCCCAGGCATAACAAAGGACATTGAAGTTGCCACAGTCCTTCTGAGGATCTGAACCCTACACTCTCATCACTCACAACAGATGGAAAATTAAAGGAAAGTTGAAATTAAGTTGGATCTTCCTGGGGTGACTTGGTATTTCTTTTTACTCAGAGCCCTGGTCATCTGGAAATAGTGATCTTCCTGTGGTAGATACAAGGCTGACCAGTTCCTGAGTCACTGATTCCAAGGACATCATCCCACCCCCATATCAAGCCCATCATTATTTGCCTCAAAGGCAGGAAACACTCCTTCATCACCTCTGCCCCTGGAACAGAAGACAGGGTTTAGTTCTAACAAAGCAGTAACAAATTTCTTTCATAAATCCACTGACAATAAGGGACTTCAATAAGATGGCACATGTGGTACCAAACATATACTTAAGTCCTCAGTGACAGTAGTGGACATTAGGCAAATGTTTATTAGGTAAAAAATGCTCATTAAAAGGAAATGAACCCAATGAATAGAAAAGAAGGGTCTGGAATTTAAAGAGCTGTGGGTGGCTCTCCCATTGTAACTACCCATCACCTGGACAGCTCCAGCCAGGGAACAAGAGCACTTAAGCTAATCTTCCCATTACATGTTGGGTATGAACATGACACATTTCTCAATTTCAACCTCAGTGGAAAATGTTTCCAAACTGTTTAAGCCTTCACTGCAGTCTTAGTAAGGAGAGTCAATTGAATGAAATGAAACCTTTCTTTGGTGAATTGTAAACCTTTGTTAGATGGAATTTACATTCTAGACCCTCATTGTCCAGGCTATAGATGGAGAATGTGGAGATGTCTGGGCTGACTCTGCTGAGTACTGGGATTCCCAGAAAAGCAATTCGCTGCTTTTTTTTTTTTCCTTGCTTATTTGATCACATCCACAATGTGAGCCAATTTTCATTCATGTCTTTCTTAAACTGAAGTAAAGAATATAGATCTAATTCCTCTTCCCTCAAAAATGAAATCTGGGCAACTTCAAGTTAATATACCAGTCTATCTTGAAAATTAGAGGAATAATATAACCAACAAATGACTGTGGGCTGGAGAGTTTAATATGCTTCAGTATTTACTATGTGAAAGGCTAAGAACTTTAGCTAGTTATAACACTGACTTTTCTAAGTCATTAGCTGTGTATTATTACTATTATTATCTTCATTTTACAGGTAGGGAAAATGAAACTGGAAGCTGAATAATTTTTGCAGTTCCTTGATAATGTCTTAGCTGGGTCCTATACTCAGTCCAGATCAATTCATCATCCAGAAGTCATGCTATGTTTCTGTCTTCTTCAGATCATTTCGGGCTCCTGACCTGATGTACATACGTCACAGTATTGTTCACTGGTTTTACAAATAGGGGTTGGAAGCACTTATTAGGTACCCCCAAGTGGTGCAATATTCCAGGGATGCATTGACAAACAAGATAGATCCGGTCTTTGCCTTAGTGGGAATCTGTAATCAAGGGACACTAGATTCATTGTTTGAAGAATGAATGAATGAATGAATGAATGAATGAATGAATGAATGAAGCTGAATGAATGATAATACATACCCAACACCCCTTCAGAGTTCTAGACAGGTAGCACTGACATTCCCTAATGTGTGCTCATCTTTTACCAATAATTGAGTATCAAGTCTCTTGAGAACAGAGACCATTCAGCAGCCACATGCTGTATATTCCCTGATACCTGAGTTTTAAAAAGAAAACATCCCTCTGTAACCATGAGTGAGGGTGAAATAAAATAACGAAATAAAACAGAGTTTGGGGAGAATTTTATCTGGGGAACAACCAAAAATTAACTCCCTTTCTTCAATTTTTTTTTTGTTTTTGTTTTTGTTTTAATCCTGCAGCATTAGCAGTGAGCAAATGGAAATCAGCAGACCCACAGGTACTTCAGTAACAGCAATGAGTGGAATTATTTACTTCTTAATGTTAAAATTTTAAAATAGGAATGGAGCTTTGGGGCCACTGAGTAACTGGCTCAATGTCATACAGTTAAGTGAAGCCAGAGACTGAGCCAACATGGAGCTTTGGATTATAAACCTCAGTTTCTGGATATTAAATTGTACATGAGAATTTATTTTCCAGAGGTAGATTTTAAGCTTAGTAGCAAGCCCTAGAGGCTAACTAATTCTCCCTGTTCCTTAAAGTTTTTCAGGAAATGAGTCTAGTTATGAGAAGTTACAGAGCTTTCAACAGCAAACCATTTTTAAACAACTTCTCCCCTGGGTGGTAATGATTTCATTAATGAAATGCATTTCATCATTCACACCATGATCACATTATGCCTTAATAAAGAACCCTTGAAAGAACATTTATTATGGGATTTGCAGTTAACTGGTGCAGACAGATGTTGGACTCTAGGGTAACTATTGGGTCAAGCCATTCTTTATCCTGCTTCAAAACTGGTCCTCCACTTGATGGAGGCTCACAAGGCCAGCTATGAGCCTCAGTTAAAACCCCCAATAGCTTCCAGTTATCTGAAAGAAGGATAAAAAAGAAGAATTTTGCATTAACCATGTCCAGATGGTTTGGACAAGAGAGATGCTTCAGTTTTCTAGAGACATAAGAATGCTTTCTTATATCTAAACTATTCTTTGATTCTTGTCAAAGACAGGCTCATTCATTCATTCATTCATTCAATAAACACTTTAGGAATCCCTAATTTGTGGAACAAAGGGTTACATAAAGAGTGACAAATAGATTTCCATATTGCAAATTTAATTTCAAAATCTTTGCAGATATTTGTTATCTATCAGAAACTTGCATAAATCCTGGAGAGTATAAAGTTCTGTTGGAATATTTCACTGTTATTTACCCAAAGAGGAACTAAGTATTGGCAGGGAGAAAGATTCTAAGCCTAAGCAGAAAAATAAACTTCATAGAATAGCGTGACCAGCCCTGAAAGAAAAAGAAAAACATCTAGGCTGATTTTTTAATACCTAAATAGGAATCAAATACAACAGCAGGTGCCATTTATCACTGAACTGCAGAGCTCAGAAAAGTAGGCAGGCCACCAGATAGTGTGTGAAGTCTTTCACAGTTACATCACAGTGAAGATGCCTAATTCTTGCTCCCTTGGCAACAGCTTTCACCCCTTCCTAGTAAAATGAGAGTAGATTTGAATATCCTTAGGCTGCATAAGCTATGCAAACATGCATACAAAAGAGAGGAAATCTGTAGTTTGGGGACATAGTGAGTAGGGCATGAAAATAAAGAATGAAACATGAGTAACTAGTAGATTATGCCACCCAAGCCTCCAGATTTAGAAAAGCCTATGTCCATCTGTACAACCTGTGACCTTGCTATACATTTGGTCAATCCCTCTTTCAATGATTCCATCTGGAAGTCTTAGGAGATGGGGAATACAAGTTACTAAAGATAGACTTCTAATCGCCTAGTCTTTGCCTGGCCTGATGTGAGGCTTTCCTGTGCTTCCCTCATGAATCTGATGTTTATATCCCATGGTTAACACAAGTATCATGGACACAAGGTAGTGCTTGAACTATGGGTTCTGGAGTTAGTTAACAGAATTAGGATATTTCATTCCGAACTCAATCAACAAGCATTTCCATCCTATCTCTAACGCAGGGCTTGGCAGTGGAAAAACAAAAGAGGATTGTGAAGTCTTTACTTGCCCAAAGTTTCTCAGGAACCAAAAATATTGAAAATTTTTTAAAATAAATAAACCTTACAAACATTCGAAGACCAGAAGGAGTCATATAATTAGTATAGTCTACTAATATAATAGAATCTCGGCAAAAGTGAATTGTTTTATTACTGTGGACTCTCACAGTCAATTCTTCTTTCTATTTGAAAGGTGAACATTTAAGATAATTGAAAAGACTTCTCCAGGACATCTGAGAATGTTATGAGACAGAATCAGAAAAGGATATATATATATATATATATATATATATATATGACCATAAAATGTCACTTTGCTTTATCTTCATTGGTACCTTTTTTCCCATTTTATAAGCCAGCACACTGAGACCTAAGTGTTGCCCAAGGTCACATAAAAGTAACAGGGTCAGGGCTTGAACCTGTATCTGTTTGGCTCTTTTCAGCTCTACACAGAGTAAACTCAAAAGAAGGAACAGATACAGTAGAAAGACTGGCTTGAAATTATTTCCTCTGAGATAAGGAGGGAAAAAAAACCTCATAGGACACAGTGAAAAGGAAAGAAGAGGACTTTCCTCTATATGAAGAATGCATGGGACAGCCAGGTATAAAGCTCAGTGGTGCAAGTGCCTGCCTAGCACGCATAAGGTCCCGAGTTTGATTCTCAGCACCAAAACCCAACCAAACAAACATAAAAGAATGCATAGGGATGTAGGAAAAAGTGAAATACTTGGAAGAGGGAGTCAGAGAAAGTGCTTGAGATGGACCTTGGTTTTCCTGGAGGATGCAGAGGGCTAGAGGGGCTTAAATCAGGGGCTCTCAACCCCAGCTTCACTGGCTTCACTTTGGAAGCACCTGGGAGCTCAGTAAAAATGTTCAATACTAAATCTCATCCTCAAGTGGTTTAGTTAAAATCTTTAGCTTATTTTAAAGATTTAAAATATGGACAAGGCATAGGCATATTTGACCTATTTTGCACATGATTCTAGTAATTTACATCCACAAGCAAGAGATACTTGCTTAGGAAAACCAAAGGTTGCCACAGCCAATCACAAATCAGGAATCAGTAACTGATGTGGCTACTGCTCCCATCCAGTGGAACTCTTCTGGAAGCAAATTTCAAATCTTTGGTCACTGTCAAGGTTACTGTCACCCTCCCGCAAGTGTGAGTGGGGAATGGGCTACAAAGAACCAGGGCAGTGGTTGGACCCTTAGCTCTGGAGTGATAAAAATACAAGTTCAATTTCAGCTCTATTATCCTTCACTGTTTGATGTAGGGTAAGTTAAATCAGCTTCTTTGAGTACATTTCCTAACCCAACAATTGGGATAATGTATGTCTTCCTCTTTGGATCAATGAGGCAGTGTGAGCAAAGATCTAACACAATGTTGCACACCTGGCAAAGATTCAATTTATGGTGGCTCCAGGAGCCACTCCAGAGAATATTTACATACAGAGTATCAGAGGCTGCCTGCGATAGGAATGTGCATTGCATGCTAACCCCTCAGAGATTGGATGGGCTGCATAGGCAAGGCATTTCAGAGACCTGTATTCCATGTTTGGCTTCCTAAGAATTCACTAGGACAGATAAATGATACTGAAAGGCTTCGAGTATCAATGGCACTACATTGAGCATCCAGATCCTCTTACCCAGGAAACAAATCTTATCCGACACGTTTCTGTTATCCAACTACACTGCTTTTTATAGCAAAGTAGTAAAGTAGGACTTGAACTTAGGCAGACAAGGCTGCTAAGGGACTTTGGTTCTCAATAACCTGGGTCTCATATAAAGAAACCCAGATGAGAGATGAGAGATAGATAGATAGATAGATAGATAGATAGATAGATAGATAGATGAAAAAGACCAAGAGAACAGCAGAGAAAAACAATATAAAAGGAGAGGTGAAGAAAAGACAAAGCGGTAGAAAAAATCGGAGAGGAAGAAGTTTAGAAAGACAACACAGAGAAAAGAGAGAGGAGAAAGAAAACAGGGATCCATGCAGAGGCCTTACCAACTGCCTTCAAGGAGGCATACTTGTTGAGCTCTTTTCCTGGTGGTTGCTGTTCGTAGGGGTTGGAGATCTGGCCCAGATTGGGGTAGGAATGTGGATGGCCCATCTGCTGGAGCAAAGGAGAAGTGGGTACTGCATTGTTCATCTGGGTGGTATCTGAAAGTGAAGAGACAGAGAGACAGTTATAGAGAAGGCAGGACTTTTACCCACTGGCATCATCATCAAATGCCTTAAACTAAAACTGGGAACAAAAGGGGGAGAATAGCAAAAGGTAAATAACACAACTCACTGGAGAGCAGCTGAGGAGATAGGAGTGACTTCATTTTCAAAGGCAGAGTACGCACTCAAAACATCTCCGCTGCTCCCATAAATTAACGTGTTAAGATCTCATGATAAAGAGATTATTTTGTTGTCAAAATAATATTTGTGCTGAAAGATGCTCAGCTTCAGATATAGTCAAGGAAATGTAAATTAGAAGAACAATGAGAAGTCATTCCTTTGTCAAGAGGTGGGCAAATATTAAAATCATTGAGGACACATTAGTGAAGGTGTTAGGAAAATAAATTCCTCATAAGCGCCTGGTAGACAAGGAACCTGCTATAACTTTTGGAAAAGAAGTTTGTATTGTGTCTTGAAATTCAATTGTACTGTGTATTGTAATGCATATTTTTACCAACAATAGCTATATCTAGGGACTGAGCCTACAGATACATAAGCATCAGATTGTATAGAATTTTGTTCAGTGATATTTTTTGCACAATTGCATTGTTCTCTAATATAAAATAAAAAAACAAAAATAAACTGAACTCCTGTTACCATGGAAATTCTTTAAAATTACTGTACATATATTGTATACTATATATATATGATGAAATACTTTGCAATTGTTAGAAAAATACATTAAAATAAGTTATGTATGTCAAACTGGAGATTTTCTTGTGGCTTCTATTGTTAAATAGGGAAGAAATCTGCAAAATAATACCAATAATACAGCATTTTTCTTAAAGGAAAAAGTCTATGCCTATTTTGTGTGCTATGGTTTGTATAAGGCATATAAAATATATAAAAGCATACATAATACATACTGGCTGTTACAAGGAAAGGGGATCCATAGGAAGAGAGACTGCAGAAGGTCATTTGAGGAAACAACCATTGAGATGAGAGTTAGAGGAAGAACAGAATCCTAGTTGAGTGGGAGAGAAAAGGCACAAGAGAAGTATTTGGGCAGGAAAGTCATCCTGGGCCTTGTAGCTGGAAGGAACTGGGATGCTCAAAAGTGAGAGGTGGCACCTGTATGCAAGAGAAAAAAGGTTTGTCTAGAAAGGCTGGGCAGGACTTGGGAGAGTTAACAGGCCCCATCTTCATCATGAGAGCAAAAAATGGGAAAATGGGCAAGATGAACTTGAATACAAGGAGTATAAGTGAGGCAATGATGGTTCAATTTCACCCAGGAAATTTGAGGTCTCTCAAGCTTCATGAAGCACTGGTATCAATCCAGATGAACATTACACTCTATGCTGCAGATACCTTGAAAAGTCCCTTATCAGGCTTGTGCACCTACGCATTTCCCAGTTGCTATACATGTTGACTGCCAAAAGCTCACAGCTGCCCCTCGTATCCAGAGAATTGTTCTCAGCTGATGGAGCCACCAACTTGGGTTTAATTCACTTCATGCATCTCACCCTTGAAACTTGAGGTGACTGGCAAAGAATGCATGGTTGACAACCAATCTATGGTTAACACTAAGGTGCCAAGACCAGCCATTTGCTTCAAAGTGAAGGCAACATTATGGAGCAATAGGCACTGTGAATCTCGCTATGAACTGAGGCATATTTAGGGATGGATTGTTAACATTTTTTGTAAAGGTACAGGTAGGTACAGGTACAGGTAGTACAGGCTTTGCAAGCCATTTAGCCAGTACTGTAACTAATCTACCACTGTGTTTGAAAGCTGTCCTCAATAATATAAAAGCAAGTAGATATGGCTATGTTTCAATAAAACTTTACTTGCAAAATCATGTAGCTCCAGCTTGGTCCAAAATCCATAGTTTGATCATCCCTGGTCTTGACTTCACCTGAGACCCTCATCTTTGTGTGGCTTCTTTATCTTCCCCATTGTATTTCTCTCAAACTTTAGAGTATTTGAAAATAACTTCCGCAGAGTCACATCCACCTGAACCCCTGTCCCAGGCTCTGCTTCTAGACAACTCAACCCATAACATATAGAACATGCTTGGCTTTAAAAACCAATGAAACCAAATGGAAAGGGAGAGGGAGGCCACAGAGGATGCACAAATGCAAACAGTGTATTTTTGTTATTGAACATACCAAGGTCATTGTATAAATTCAAATGACTAAAAGGAACATCACCAAGCATAAACCAACTAATCCAACTCAGACTGGCATCAAAAGGGGTGAAAGCATACTTCTTAGCGTTTTGGCTGAGATTCAGCAGGAGGAGCAGAGGACTCAGATAAACAAAGCCATGGCAGGAAAGGCATGGTTTCCACTCTGGGATGCCTTGACATTTCTTCTCCTGAACCAACCTGCTGGGTGTCCTGTCTGCTTCCTCTGGGAATGTCAAAGCAGAAATATTTTTGCCCAAATGTTGATCCAATGAGACATTTATGATAAATTCTCATTGTTTGTCATTGTATGTGATTGTCTGTTTTCAGCAGATAACACTGTTTCTGTATATTTAGAACAGTCAACTCCTTTAATGTACTGCTTTAGCTCCATCCGAGTCATGTGACAAGCTGCTAATCATGATAAATCAGTTTGTATTTTCTCAGAAATTACTGAGATAAGGTCTCAAGTGTAAGCATATCTGGAAAATGGGCTTAAGAAATACTTACAAAATGGTGACAGACATGGAAGAGAGAGAAGAAAACAGAATGTGATGCCAACCAACATGCAACTGTCATGAACTGAGTTGAATCTCACTCTAGTGCATGATGCTAAAAGCATGCCTCGGAATTGAAATCACAGGGGTTGAGCCTTTTGGATTTTTACACCAAAAATCTAAATCTTTGGTAGAGGGCTATTCCAAGGAGATACTAATTTCTCAACATACACAACCTGCTATGTCTACAGGCAATGCGTGAGCCCTAATGGTCAAAAGCATCCTTGCCCAGAGATGTAAGAGCTGGAAGTTGAAAAGCGGGTGTGTATACTCTGAAGTGGCAAGGGCTCAAATGTTACACTAATTCACATTTTTGGCCATAGAAGTGAGCACATCACCCAAATCAAACTAATCATAATTCTTCTTTCTCTCATAGTGATTGAGTGGATAGGAGAATACAATCCCTACTGAGCACCTCAGATTTCATCCATGAATATTTCTCTTTAGAACCACTACAGTAAAAAAAAAAAAAAAAAAAAAAAAAAAAACCACAAGGTCATGAAGCCAAGTGATACTGAACCTTCCATGTAAAGAAAACCTTTCTTCATTATGAGAAACTGAGAGAATAAGGGCACTCCCCTTTAAAGAGCTAGTTATATTTTAAGGCTCCTCTCACTGGCAACATAGAGTTTTGACTAATGAAATTTGTGTCTGGATTCCTTCTGGGAAGCTGGAACTGATCAGAATCAGCTACCTCTGCCATAGTGAAAAAGGCAAAGCTTGAAGTTGGCATCAAAATGGAGAAGCTGTTGCCTCTTGATTTACTGCAGAGCTGTAGCGAAACTTTCCAGGTGGGGCAAAGCAGGATGGGGAGAGGCTGGTCAACAGGTCCAGTTATAGTTAGATGGGTGGAATACGTTATGGTGTTCTATAGCACAGTAGGGTGATTACAGTTTACAACCATACATATTTCAAAATAGCTAGAAGGGAGGATCTTGCATGTTTTCACCACAAAGAAATGCCCATGGATATGCTCATTACACTTCTTTGACCTTTACATAAAATATTGCACTATATTCTATAGATACATACAGTTATTATGTGCCAATTAGAAATAGAACTTTAAAATATTGAGCAGTACATAAAGAACAAGCAAAGACACTGGTAGACTAATCAAGTAATGGTTCAGTGCCAAATGTTTTATCTTCCCTGGAAATAAATCTCAAACACCAGCTTCACTGTCAGAATTGACACTTGCAAACTTTACTCCAGAGTAAACTGTTCTACCATATTTTGCTCCCTCTTTCCCAAAACCCATCACTATGCTCAAATCCTATTTCAAATCCTGCCTTTGGAGACGCTAGCCATTTTATTAAGGGAGGAAAAAACCTGTAGAGATGTTCTTCAAAGGACATCTTGGGACAGCTTTTATATTATTAAACAGAATACTTAATATTCCATTATAGAGTATTTGCTTTTAGATTATTTCTATCAAGTCTTGGGCTACCTCAAGGGCAGGGAGTATTATTTAATATAAGTAGGCATGACAGAGAGGGCCCACCAAAGTGATACCTCTCAAAAAGAGAAATAAGGCTGCCCCAAAATCATGTTCCCGCTTTCACATTCAAAACCACAGGAAGCCAATTTCTGGCAGTTTTAGATAGCCACTTTGTGCTAGCTTCCAGGCAATGGATATTGAGAAATATTAAAATTTAGTCTCGGGGAAGTCATCAAGAATTATTAAACATACATTTGTGGCTGAGTTTTAAAATGTTGTTTCATTTTACCAGCTAGAAAATGGGCAGCTTGGGTGCTTTATTGAGTTTTCCCCAAAATCCGTTCAGAGAAGGAGAAGGTGTACATGGGAGGAAAACCCAAATTGGCATCTAATAAAAGTAGAACAATAGAGAAAACAAGAGTGTAGACCGGGCAACATTTAGGTTATAGTCTGCAAATATACTGCTCTTGCAAAGTTGAGAAAAGAGACAAAGATATATGTGTATGCATATGCATGCATATGTAATTATACACACAACAGCATTTCTTTTGCACAGTTTTGTCCATGGAGGAATCTGGTAGTATCAGTGATGTCTTGCTTTTAGTAAAATGATTTTTCTTTTAGGTACACTCCAACTCCAGAGACCCCTCTGTAAATTATTCTCCCTACCCGATCCCATAAAAAACTATCCTCACCTCATTATAATTTTGCAACTTATTATAATTCTTAGAAAAAACGAAGGAGCATTTGCTGTCTTATGGCACTGAGTTCTAGAAAGACCCTCCATCAGCAAGCAAGAAGCTGGCAACACACCTAT